ATGAACGCCTGTCTTGCTTTTCCGATTCTGACTTTGACATCCTCGTCTGTGCCGCCTGTAGTTGAAACAGTGCTCCCTAGATGCGTGAAGGAGGCTACTTCCTTTAAGTTTCTCCTGTTGATGGTGACTGGAGTTTGTTGTTGTTGGTGGTGCGGTATCTTCATCACCTCTGTCTTCCCTATATTCACTTGAAGTCCCGTCTCCCTTCGCTGCCTCACCTCTTCTGCCAACTTGTTAGTTTTCGCCTGTAGATCTTCAAGTTTATGTGATATCAGGCACAAGTCGTCCTTGGCGAAATCCAGATCTTCTAGGTTCTTTTCCGCAGTCCAGCGTATCCCCCTCTTCTCACTCCCCACTGTTTGCTGCATGATCCAGTCGACCACAATCAGGAATATCATGGGGGATAGTAGGCAACCTTGTTTCACTCCTGTCTTCACTTCACTGTAAAGGCATCACTGAGCTTCCCATTGTGAATTACTTGGCATGTGGCGTCTTCATATAGTTGTTGAATGAGGCTGATAAAGGTTTGCGGTACTCCGTAGCAATGAAGCAGTTTCTCGGTCGACGCTGTCAAAGGCCTTCTCAAAGTCGATAAAGTTGAGGTAGAGAGTTGACTGTCATTCTATACTCTGTTCTATGATGATGCATAGTGTAGCGTTGCAATTTGGTCCACACATGATTTGTACTTCCTGAAGCCTGCCTGTTCCGGTTATAGTTTGGAATCCAGTGCATCCTTTAGCCTCTCCAGGATGATGCGGCTTGATATTTTGCTTGCTCTGGGTGGACAGGAGTGGAGCATGATTCCGCGCCAGTTCTTGCAAACACTGAGGTCTCCCTTCTTCGGGAGTTTGACAAGGTAACCCTTCTTCCAATCACCAGGTACCTTCTCTTCCTTCCACACCTGCAATAGTGGTGTGAGCATATCCGTTGCTGTTGTCTCTGTGTCTGTTTTCAGTGCTTCTGACGGGATCCCATCTGGTCCTGCTGCTTTCCCGCATTTCAGTAGCTTTATGGCGTTCAGGACTTCCACTTTTGTTGGAGGCTGCAGGTGGTATTTCTGGAAGAAGTGCAGGTGGTGGTCGATTCAAGAGCTTCTTGAAGTGGTCAGCCCATTGTTTCCTTTGTTTCTCCTCTTTCGTAATGAAATTTCCGTCATCATCTTTTATTGGCTTCGTCTGCGTTGATCTCTTCCCAGGTAGCAACCTAGTTATTTGATACAATGTCATCAGGTCTCTCCTACCTGCAGCCTGTTCTGCTTCACCTGCCAGTGTTTCGTAGAAGTGTCTTTTGTCTTTGCGTGCACTCTTCTTCACTTCTTTATCCAGTGTTTTATACATTGTACTCAGTTCCTCTTGTCGTTGAGCATCCTTGCACTGGTTTATCTTCTGCTTCACCATCCTCCTCTCCTCTATCAGCCTCCATGTGTCCATCGAGATTCATTCCTTATCTTCTTTCTTCTTCCTTCCTAATACGGCTGTGCAGGTTTCTTTCCACATCTCTTTCAAAGACTTCCAGTGTTCTTCCACACAAGTTTCTTCAGGGATGTTCCTCGATATCTCCCATTTTGTCTTGATGGCTGCCGTGAAGATTTCCTTTGTAGTTTCATCCTTCAGTTTCCGAGTGTTGTACGTGAGCTGCAGTCTATCACTAGCTTCCTTGAAGGCTTTTAACTCGATTTGGAAGGTTCCTTGCACTAGACAGGGAGTGGTCTGAACCTACATCTGCTCCTCTTCTTGACCTTGTGTCAAGTAGGCTGGCTGCGTCTCCACTTTCTTGAGATTTGGATGAAGTCAATCTGATTTTTAGTGTAGTGTGTCCACCCGGTGAAATCCATGTCGCTTTGTGGATATCCTTGTGCTTGAACACACTGCCTCCAATCACCAAATCGTTGAATGCAAAGAATTCTGAAAACAATTCTCCATTCTCGTTCATCACCTCACCTAGCGCTTCTGGACCCATGGTTAGTTCTCTTCCTGTGTTGTCCCCTCCAAGTTTGACATTCATGTCGCCCATTAGAATTTTGATATCGCCAACTGAGGTCTTGTCCAGTGTTGATTGCAGTTGTCTGTAGAATTCCTCCTTTTTCTCTTGCTCTGCATTATTTGTAGGTGCGTAGCATGGTATGATTGTGACCTTCCTTCCTTTTGAGCTGAATCTTGCTGCCATGATCCTGGAGGAGATTGGTCCCCACTGCATGAGAGCCTGTGATGCTGTAGGGGACATCGTGATAGCCACTCCCTCAGTGTGCTCGTGGTTGTCGTCTGGGTGACAATATCGGAGTAGATTATTGATTCTCCAGTTGACAGTTGGGAGAGTCCACTCCCATTCCATCTGCTTTCGCGAATTCCAAGCACTTCAATGTAATACCTTCTCATCTCGTTTGCAATCTGGGCTGCCTTGCTGGGTTCAAACATCGTGCGGACATTCCATATCCCCACGTTTACTTTCGCTTTCATCGAGGGAGAGAAGACACACCGGCCAATTGGCTTCCCGAAGGCTTTCACCAATCGGCATCATTTCGCCTCTCCGATTCCAGCGAGGAATAAGTTTGTTTTTATTTTTTATATATCGTTTGTGCTTTGAAGTTTCTTTAGCGGTTAGATTTGTTTTACGGGGTAGGGTTGCTAGCCCTATCCCCAACCTTCCCTCTTTACCCGGGCTTAGGACCGGCTAGTAACTGGTGAACTAGTTAACCAGGCGAGGTTCTGATAGCTATAGAACCTACAACATATGTTCATTAGGCTGACTCCACTATGTTTATCACTGGGGCATTTGTCTCTTTTATTGAAAAGTGGTACGATCAGTTGTTGAGACCAGTCAAATGGGATTACATCCAACCCGCATACACTAGCTAACGATTCAGTTAGTTTAACCAATAATCTGTGAGTACAGACCTCGGATACTTCTGTTACTAGATCGGCTGGTTACGTTGTTCTCTTTCCCTCAGATTGCTTACACCCTTCTCGAATTCTGTAAGTGTTGGGTGCACTATCTCGATGTTCCATTCATTATCCGACTGGATAACGGGCAAAGGAATCGTTTCAGGAGGTCAATTGAACTATTTCTCGAGGTGTTCCACAGATCGTTCCAGTTGTTTCTCCTATGAGTGAATCGGAGACCCATCCTTCTTTACTATAGTCTCACTAACCACTGACTTTTCCTCCCCAGTTTCGTTAGCCAGTCGAAATAACCGTCTACTGTTGCACATAGTCACCGCTTTTCCCATCTCTCTAATCTACCGTACCCACCACTATTCATGGTCATTGTGTAGACTCCTTGTTAGTTCACATTTGAGTTGCTTCTAGTTTTCATTACGTTCAGCACCTGCAGAAATTTTCTGCGCGCACTGATTAGTTCAGAAGAGGCTGCTGAGATTCAGTGGCCATTTGTAACCACCTTGTTAGAGTCGGCTAATGTTTTCACTGCTGTTTATACGGCAGACTGGAGAAGACGCCATGATTTCTGTAGGAAAGGCAGAATGCTACTGCTGGCCATCCGCGGGAAATACCTTAATGCTGTCACGCCGCTTCTATTCAATAGTGCGACTTCACCTCAGACTCCAACATAGTACTGTGATGGTAGCTGCTTTTTTCATAACATTATGTCACTGGCCTTTCACGAACTAACGGAATATACGACTGAAAAATGTGTGAAGTCAGGTAGCACCCACGTGGTCTGTCAGTTTTGTTAATCAGACTGGAATGACTTAAACACTGTGTAGTCATTTCCGTTGTGAGGTCATCAGAACCGTTCGATGACAAATTCAGCTCAAATACCCGGATGTTTCAAATGAATGTGCTTGGATGGATCGACCTACTGTAAATTCGAAGATCGATTTCCAAATTATTTCTAAACTAGTTGATCTGTTTTCTATCTCAGCATCTGGTTATGTCTCTAATGAGCTCATCCCCGAATAGACAGACTGAGCGTCAGAGGTTTAAATTACCTACATACTTCTCCTATACAAACAGCACGTTGAAATAAGTGATTTCCAGGCACACATAACGAATTTTTAAACCACTGTATTTCATGAGTGACTTTTGGGTTGAGTAGTACACTCCTCCTGATGTCGACGCTTCTCATCCAGTGGCTGTGAAGCATGCTAGCCGATGATTATAAAATACCCTTAATCTCTACGTATCTCTCGCTATCAATGGTAAAATTTCAGGATTATATACTGCGATATATTAATGTACAGAAAGAATAGTTGCACTTTATCTGTATCCTCTCGAATATGACCACAAAATCTTGAATACCTCTTGATAACCACTCCATCACTTATCGTATCTCAGTTGTAATACCAATCTTTGATGACAGATACAGGGACTGTGCCTAGAGCACAACAGGTTAGATATCAGACACAATTTTTATTCGTCAAGAGTTTTAAACTTTGAGACGTTTTTTCTAAAGAAGTGATCTCGGCCACTTCTTCTGATTCCTTTCAAGCTCGGTTTGATACTTACTTGAGGTGTAGGTGAGGTCTTGTCGGGCTAACTGAATTTTCAGATTTCAGCTGCCACATTCTACCCTCTTTTAAATGCACATAGGTTGACAACCACAAGGACCAGCGGTCCTGGAATTTTAGACGCAAAAGCCATTTAAACGAAAGACTAATTTCCTTCATTAACATTTCAACTATTTGAATAACAGGCCTTCTGATTTCTAAGGAGTGTTTGACTTGACCCATTTATTCTGAAATCTCCAAATATAATGACGTTGCGAGCATACTGAAAGGAGCAATAAAGAAATACTCCAATTAGGAAAAACGTATGCAGAAGTGTTCAGTAAAATGTGGAAACGAAGGGATAAAAAATTGAATCAAATAGTTTTTGAAGAGAAAAGCGTTCAGATTGGAACAAGGACCATACGGGTACACTCAGAAACTAGCATTAGCCTTACTGTTATAATTATTTGTACGTAATGAGAATGAGCATTGAACACTGTACCCCTTTGATGCCTTGCGAGCAAAAACAAACTGTTGCGGTTCGCACGCATTTGATATGAACAACATGCAACGGCTTCTAAATTTAGGAGTTGTTGGAGGTAGTTTTTTTGGTGGTGCTGCAGTGCTCGCATTGGGACTTTCACAGTCTTTATTTACAGGTATGTTTGTCTGAATACTGCTAACATACGTCAGTTGACGGAGGTCATCGAGGTATTATATTTAGTCGCATTGGCGGAGTAAAGGAAGAAATTTATCCTGAAGGTCTTCATTTCAAGTACGTTAGGCGAAGTGTCACACTTGTTTTAGAATACCGTGGTTTCACTATCCGATTATCTATGATATCAGGTCGCGACCTCGTAAGATAACTTCACCTACTGGCAGCAAAGGTAGATTATATAAACCTAACATTAAATGTATTTATTTTTCTATGGTTTGATTTTCTTAACCTTGGTTTCTGTGAGCGATTCCACTGGCAGATAGAATTCCATGTAAAGTGGTTAACTGTCTAGGATAGCTTTGACGTTGTCGAACTAGGTGCTACGTAGAAAATGTTATTAAAACGAGCTTAGTCACTCTCTTGCGTAGAATATACGACATTGCAAAGCATTCGCACTGCCTAAGTCATAAAATGATGTCTTATGGGCAAATGAATCGCGTTTGCAATAATTCCAGCCCTGCTACATAAGTTCTGTGAATAGGAGAGTCGATCCAAGTCTTCTAAGCGTAGTGATTTTTCTGTAAACTAGTTTCTTCCTGGATAAATCCATTGGAGGGACTGGTACCTGTGGCGATGAGATGTCCTTGAAGATGGCATTTGACTCTGAACAGAGTTGTGGCAGTGCCTGACTGAAGGAAGTAACAAGCAAGTATCTAACGTCGATCACAGCTCTCTACTCGAAATAACGTGGCCGTATGCTGGCTTATGAAGACTTGTCTGAATTGACGATAACAAGTAGTGTCAATTTAAGATGCCTTTTGTCGCCGTTCCTGTCTAATTCAGTTGTTAGTGTACAAATAGAAATATCTTTAGGTACCTCTGACTTAACAACGATTGGTCCTTTTTTGCATGCAGATCAAGGTTTCTTCAACAGACAGTCTATTCCAACTCATGCAGCTTCTCAAGTAAATGATGTCCTAAACCCTATGCTTGAACCAAGAGTAACGGCTGATCCGTGAAGAAATTTGAAAAAGTGCAAGAGGCATTTCGGAAATACTCAAGTTTTCGCTCAATGCTTTTAGGAGACTGCAAACAACATCCTCAGCGTATTCATAGTCAAACGGGTTTCATACCCTGAAGGAGTGAATCTCAATGAAGTCAATATCATGCTCATAAGCACATTTATAACAGCTGAGCAAGAATAGTTACAGACACCTAATTGTGGATTCTCAACACAACTCTACAGTCGCCTTCACATAGCTACGTGAATTCGAGTCCATCCATTTGAATCAACATAGAACCAGCCGTTACTGCGTAACAATCCGAGTTGCTAATTGATTTTTCAATTGCTGTTGCCAACTTTGTCATGTGTTGTGCTGTGAGTATGCTTCCTAGTTTTCTCTTTTGATTGTCAATCAATAATTGGTATTTCTGAATCCGATGATGTGCATCTGTGATCATGAGTTGTATCATTTGTCTTCCACTTTGTTCAGCTATTTTTCATCCCACTCGACAGTTAATCGGTGGTCTATATCTGACGCTCTTCGGCGGAACATGCTGACGTAGGCACTCATGGAGAAAGAGTGGTTGTTCTTTTGTGGAAGCTTGGCTTTTGGAGAAGTCCTCCAATCTTCGAACAACCTGAAGCGTGTTACGCTCGTATGGTTTTGAAATAGTGGAGAATATTTGTAGCTCAGATGGATGGTCTTGGATGTATTATGTTCTCTGAGCTGGGTTGTTTAATCGTGAAGCTTTCATAGTTACTCTTTGTTCGACAGATACAGCTTCCGATATTATATCTTGTATTTCCCCGTCAATGATTTGCTGAAATTGGTCAGCCATTATTGGCATATGGAGACAAAACAAAACCAGCGTAGAACCTCGCACACAAGTAAATCAACGCAAGTTTCAACACTTCACAGTAGTACACAAAGAATCGGTGGATAGAATAAAAGCAATATGAAAGTAGGGAATGCTGTGTGAGAGAATAAGGAATCTGAAGGTGAAAGTTGTTGCGAATATTCAAACTTTGGAAGGCGTCAAGGAGTGGATGGATCTGCACCATTGTGACCAATTTTCAGCCATATCTTAAACCACTGACTCATTTCATCTCGAGGACCCCAACCAGGCAGTCTACATCTCCCTACACGCCTCAGGCTGACAGTCATAGACTTCGTCTGGTGTCACTTCTCAGTCTGGACACCCTAAACCTGCTTCCAATTTAATCCAACGTCAACTAGCATGACGTGTAGAGGTAGGCTTGGAAATGTACTGTGCATACCAACCTATCTCCGTCGATTAATGTTCACAACTCAATCGACCGACTTACCTGTCTAACCACCTGGTACCTTTTGCTTGACCACAACATTGGTCACGCGGTGATCCCACCAAACGTGAGAAATGCTACGAAGACATCTGTGATGAAAACCCTGAAACTACTTCATATCTTCTACTTTTAACGGACATGTCTCACAGTTATGTAGCAGAATAGAATGGACTGCAGCGTTGGCAAATGGGCTCCTGTTTGAATGCCGTTCAGTCTTTCAATAAATACCTGTTTGGAAATAGTACTGATCTTAAGCATTTATCTCCATCCACAAATGATGAAGTTGTAGTCAAAAGATGATTTGCTTCCTTGTTCGCTGTCACTTCTAGGTGTGTTTGTAGGCATATTGGCGATTATTGGTTGTTTTCCTTCAATACACTGGTCCGTTATTATAGGTAGGCCTGTTAATGAGAATTGTAACGACCTCCTAATTGCATTTAAAAGTTGGACAACACCTGATATATCTTGGTTAATTTGTGAATGTCTTCACTTACACTTTTGACTAATCTGCTTGTTACAGGTTACATGGACGACGGAAACTATTCTAGGACTCATTCTTCTCAAAGAGGAACACCTGAATTGAATTTAGCACAGTGATCAGTTGTGAAATAGCATACCATCGGCAACCGGCGGTCAGGATTTAAAGCTGTCAGGAAGGGTACTTCACCACATAGTGAGATCCATATCGAACTAGGATGTGCCGCCCCTTAGTCAGAAAATCAGCATCAACATGCACAACAGTCCGATTTGCCACTTCTCATATCAAGATAGAGGCCACAAATACTAAGGATAGGGCCAAAATAAAGAAACACCGTACAGTATCAAAAGGGGAGCAAACGAGTAAACCTATAACAAAATGTGACATGAAGAATTAGGGAAAATAATGTATGTATCTGCCTCATCGATCGTTCCCAGAATCCTCAACCATCGATTCCTGTTGTCGCATGGATCCCAACCGAAAAGTCTATATTTCAATACACAGCCCAGACCAGCAGTCAAAGACTTCATGCACTGATGCCATGTTTAAGTCTGGCCACCTCTTACCTTTCCCAGCCTAACCCTACGTTAGCTAACATTGCTTGACGAGGTTGGTGATGACTATGCATGGGTAACATACGTCCCAGCCATCTGAATCGATGTAGGTTAACATCAGCACTAACCGACTTTCTTAGCCTCCATAAAACTATGCACCTGACTTTTCCATTACTGGCGTTCATTCTACTACACAGGTTGTGCTTCAGAGGTGACGGTGGTGGAACACTTGAAACAGTCTCATATCCTCCACCCTTATTGATCAAGTTCTAAATCCAAAGAGAACTAATGCGCAGCATACTTGGCTCTTAATAGGCAACCAGATATCACAGAAGCTCCGTGCAGAGATCTATTCGACCACTGGCCCATCGTGGTTAATCCGACTTCCCAAGTGTATGATGCGGTTAGCACGTTCAACAACTTACCTAATTATTTTTTTTAATCGCTACACGACTGCAGATCAGTCCTGAAACGACTATTTGTATTTCAGTGACGAGAAATCCACCCCCAAGCAATCTTAAATTACAACTCAAAGTGTCCAGTAGACTGTGAATTTTGTCATCATCTTCACCTGACAGGACTATGTCAGCTGCTTACTCTGGGTCTACTAAAGAGTCTTTTATGACCAAATGGATCTCCGTTAACTCAGACAGGGAGAGGGAGATCCCTATAGAGACGCTTGTCAAACGTCTGAATAGGAATGAGGAGAGTGACCAGCCTTGACGCACACCACTCGGCATACTGAATTCAGCTGACACCTTACCACAGGCTGTAACACGCGCATGAGTTCTCTAATCATCATCAATATCAACATAGGACCAGGCATTACTGCGTAACGGTCCGAGTTCCCACACCTCATATCATTACATAAAGTAAAAGGGCAGTGAAGTGGAAGGTGAAGTTGATAAATACAGTCAAAAGAAACATACAGTACGAAGAGGTGAAACGAGAAAATGGTGAGATTCGATATAGCATCGTTAAGATGCGGATAACGTGTTTATGCATCTGCGCCACTGACATCGGTTCTGAGCCATGTCACTTAGAGACCCCAGCAACTGGTTCCTCTTGTCCTGCGGACCCCAACCGACTAGTCTGCATCGTCCCATATGGCTCAAACCAACAGTCAAAGACTCCATACATTTGTGTCATGTTTTAGTCTGGCCACCTCGAGTCTTTATTCAGCCTGGACCTACTTCGGTCAACATTGTGTGACGGGGCAATCGGTGACTAGGCATACGTAATACGTGTCCCAACCATCTCAGTCGATGAAGGTTCACAACCGTGTCAACTGACTTACATCTCCCGTAAGCTCTACACCTGACTTTTGAGTTACTCACGTGGTGACACCACGGAATAGGACCTATGCTACGAAGGCGACAGTGGTCAAACACCTGAAACCGCCTTCTCATATCTTCCACCTTCAATGGCCATGTTTCACAGCCATACAGCAGAACAGAGCAGACTGTTGTACAGTACACACGACCCTTTGTAGACAATTGGATATCACGGGGGCGCCATAGGTTGCGTAAGTTGACAAAAGCCAGCCGAGCCTTCTGTTTTTGTGCAGAGATTTCATCGGCCACTTAGCCACCAGGGCTGTTCCTACTTCCCAGGTAAGTGAAGTGGTCGACACACTCAACCACTTCACTCTCTATTGTTAGCCGTTCGACCGTTGAAGACGAATCCTGGAGCAACAACTTGCATTTGGGTGGTGAGAAACGCACCCCAAACATTCTTAAATTGCCACTCAGTGTTCAGAAGACTGCATCTTGTCAGCGTCTTCACCTAACAGGACTATGTCATCTGCATATTCTAGGTCTAATGAAAATTCTCCTGCAATTAACTCAACGTCTGTGTAATCAGGTGACGAGAAGGAAACCACGAGAATATCTATGATAAAATTGAATAGGAATGGAGACGGTGGGCACCCTTGACGAACACCACTCGGTGAGCATAGCTCCCTGGCCATCTCACCGTAGGCTCTAACACGCCCACAAGTGTTCGAGTAGAGGGCCTTCAAAAAGGTGATGTACTTACTCGGTACACACACCTTTCAGTGAGAGACATTGCCATAAGACTTGCCGGTCAACGGAGTCGAATGCTGCCTTCACATCGAGAAATGCAGCTAGTGTTGGGCGTCGGTAAGTGTGCCTATGTTCCAGAACCTGTCGTAGTGTGATTATTTGGTCGATACACTAGCAGCCAAGTCTAAAGCCTGCCTGGTTTTCTGAGGCTTGTTGTTCGCGAGCTCCACTCTGACGTCGAAGAATTGTGGAGCCTAGGATCTTGATCACTATGTTTGTCAGGCTGATTCCTCTGTGGTTATCACAAGAGGACTTCTCGCCTTGAAGACTAGAATAATCATTGATTTAGACTACTCAGAGTGAATCGTGTTCGACTTGACTAAGAGCACTCTATCATCATCCTTGTAAACCTCAGGAATTAGTCCGTCTGGTCCTGCTGCCCTTCCTCGTTTCAAGTTACAGCCTTCTCGACTTCCGCAAGTGTTGGTGGGCCTATCTCAACGTCCCATGCAGGATTCGACTGGATAGCTTGCAACGCAATGGTGACTGAATGCCAGTTAGACTGTTCCTCGAAGTGTTCTGCCCATCGTTCCAGCCGTCTCCCCTGCGAGTGCATCTCAGACCCGTCCTTTTCCGCTATAGTCTCACTAAGCGTTGTTGGACCTTTCCCCCCAGTTTCCTTAATAAGTCTAAATAGCTGTCTAGTGTTAACAATCGCCTCTACCTTTCCCATCTCTTTAGCCTTCGCTCCCTACCACTGTTCACGGTCGTTGAGTAGACTTCTCAATCTACTTTTATGTTGCGCTTGCTCTTCGTTGTACTCACAGCCTGCAGGGATGCGTTCACGTCCATCCATTAGTTCAGAAGAAGCTGCTAATATCCACTGGCTCTTTTTAACCACTCTTTCGGAGTCGGCTACGGTCTTTAGCGCTGCCTTGACAGCAGACTGGAGATAGCACCAAGCTTCTTCCGGATGGGTGATAGTCTTTTGTTCCGATAACTGCCTAGCCAATGTCTCACTGGAGGCGGCTTTGTTGTTTTTGTTGTTGAGCTGTAGTCGTAATGGTTTTGTTGCCAAATTTTTCTTACGTTCATTGAGACGCAGGCATATACGTGCTCGGACCAACGCGTGGTCGATATTCAAACACGTACTCCAGAAGGAGCTTCAGTCTTCCACCAATCCTCTCCAGCGATGACCGGTAGCAATGTGGTCTATCTGTGTCCATCGCTGAGTTGAGCTCGGTGAACGCCACGTCAGACAGTGTCTTTCCTTATGTCTGAAATTTGTGCTAGCTAAAAATAGGCGGTTGTCTGAGCACAGTTGTAGTAAGCGGTCACCGTTATCTGTACGTTCAGCTAGGACTCCGAAAGTGCCACCTTAGTGCCTTTCCGCCTCACTCAGTCTACTCACCTGTGCATTGAAATCACCTGCAACAACCACATCTGAAGGTTGGGCTTTCGAGAGGAGGCTACACAGTTTTCGGTAGAACTCGTCCTTCACTTCATCCGAGCTGTAGTCAGTGGGTGCTTAAGCAGAGATTACAAAGAGACAACAGTGAGTTTCACTATTTCTTTTAGTTCTCACTGTGCGGGACAGCACAGAAGTGACTATCAACTGGGATCCAGTCAAGTGGTGAGCTTTCTACCGTAGTGCTTAATGCTATGCCTACACCTGCAAGACTGTGAAAGCTAGCTAACAAATCTCTAGAAACTGGAGGGGTGAGTTTTCGCGGATTCACCAGATTGGTTGGGAGAGGTCAGGTGAATAACCGCACTTGGGTCCTGTATGCGTGTCTCAAACACATCCATGGCCCGAGTTGCTAGAATCTTTGCTAACGAGGCCTGTTGACCAATTTGATGGAGGGTGGGGACATTGAAGTCCCTGATATGTAAATTGGAGCATGGTTTAAGGAGACTAAGGATGCTGTTTTGTGGACTCAGATCGTTGTCAAAAGCTGCTGAGCTAGGAGGAATTGAAGATGATGTGGTATCGTTCATTAAGAGACATGAAGGAAGATTAGAAGGTAATGATGAGGGAGGTGAATAGCAGTTTGAGAAAACTTGAGTGATAACAGAGTTGTGAGGGCGGTTGACACTTCCCGGCTTCCCACACCATGGAAGATTATTTCTTCTTAAGGTACCTGATAGAGATTTGTGTGACTGCAGAGCCGGTCGGCCATCTGCTTGAGACCTGTCACACGCAGCTTTTTGTGTATGGTTATTTTGAGCTTTTTTTGTTTTGGGGCGGATGGTCGTAAAAGAAAGGCAGATAAACCAACATTGCCGGACCGGCAGACCATAGGGCATGGTGGGCTGTTATTTTTGGGGTCGACCTTTTCTACCCCTCTTCCCGTTCCATTGAGAAAGAAGCATCAGCACGGCACTGCTGGTCATCCAAGCGAAACACCTTACTGCTGTCACCCCATCCAGCTAGCAGCAGTACGACTTCGCCCTCAGACCCCCATTATGGTGTAATAATTTACACCACAACGGTAACTGCTTTTCGTCTAACCACTATCCAACAGAGGTTTCTGGTATGGTAGGACCTCGAGGGAACAAGTGTCCCACCAGCATACCTCGTTGGGTCATTGTGATATGCAAGCCCGACCACCACGACAAGGTAGCAGCTATCAATCGTGTGAATTCAAGTAGACAGATGTCTTCAATTGGGATATTATATGTGCTGCGTACTTCATTCACAGTCAGACACTGTTACAACACTATCGACAGAATCGAATTTCGCCTTGCGAATAAGTAATGAAACATATCCAGAATATCTGTGTCCAAGGAATTGTCGAGAAAGGAAAACGCCATGCCGCTGCCCAGGTCTGAAACCTACCCTATGTTTTTGGATTTGCTATTGATCTTCATCGAGACGTTGGACGACTATTCACAATGGTAGCCTACTAAATGTGTTTGTCAAACTGATCCTTAGGTAATTTTTACAATCAAAACGTTTCTCCTGTCCAAGAAAATGCAGTCATAAGTAATCCAGCTTAACGTCTATGTAGTTATGATAACCCAGATAATATAGATAATACTATGATGTAAGACTAGAATATCGATAAGTAACTCTACTACTTACTTCCTTTACTCTAAACGAACACTGTCCTGTGTGTTAAGTAACTACCTCCCCCAGGTTCCTAACTACCTGCAGTGGTAAAGTCGTGTTCAACTTATGACTAACAGGAATATTTGTTACATAGATGTGAACTATTTCACGAAATGAATTTCTGATGAGTGCTTTTTTTCAGCATTTTTTTTGTCATATCTATCAGATTTTAAATTTCTTTTGCTTCTTTTCAGATCTTCAAACTGTTAACCTTACTTTGCGCGTCTTATCTCGACCTGAAGTTTCACAGCTTCCAAATATTTATCGTACATTGGGAACAGATTACGATGAACGTGTTTTGCCATCTATTGTCAACGAAGTTTTAAAGGCAGTTGTAGCTAAATTCAATGCTAGTCAATTAATTACTCAGCGCCAACAAGTATCTTTGTTGATCCGCAAGCAGTTGATTGAACGGGCTAGTGATTTTCACATTATTGTTGACGATGTGTCCATTACTGATTTGACTTTTTCACAAGTTTATTCTGCTGCAGTTGAGGCCAAACAGGTTTGTTTGCTTAGTACAGATTTTTTATTAGATGTATCCCAACAAGCATTATTAACTTGATGAAGAAGATAACACTAGCGTTTACCGCATCCAACAGGTGAATATGTAAAGCTTAAGGTGATTCGAATGTTATACTGTGTATAGCTTTAGATTCCTTGCATCTACTAATTCATTGACTAACTAAGTACGCAATCGCAGAACTGTTTGTTGACCTCATTTACCTTCTATAGTGGTGTATATTTCACAAAAGCTTGATGATTTACATATTTATCAGTCAACTGAAGGGAATATAATTAGGTGTATCCTGTTTTAGTGTCACATCCGACTTTATAAGTCTAAAGGTCCTCCGTATTTCAAATCGGTAAGTGTGGGCATTTTAGTGTCTGCTTGATATGATTCTGCTGACAATATGCGAGAATTCAGTTGTAAGCATTATAAGTTGATTCATCCTGATATTTTTATCATACTCAGTATTATCAAAGCATGGACGATTATAAGTTTTTTTCTTACTGTCCTGCTTAGCAAACCACTTGTGAATGTGAAAGATCCAAGCTATAGCTCCCTAGTTCGCGCTATCTGTAACAGTACGCAGATATGTTGGGCTGCGGCTCATTGGTTTAGGTAGATGACTTTCAACCATTGGGTCACGAGTTCCAACTGCCGAGTTTTGGGCAGCCAGGTAGTATCACTATCCCTCACACAATAGGTGTAGCTTATTGCCTACTGCGAAAATGTACACGAAGTCGCTGAGTGCGTTTCGATTTTGACTATCCAGACATATACCCGCTATATTAGGAAAAACGGTATGTATTTGATCGAATTATAGGGTTTCGCATCCATATCAATATATTAAGGTGGTGTTGGATGATTCACTTCGGAGGGATCAGACAGACTGACAATGTCACCATAGGACGTGGCAACGCTGCGTAGCGGTTCACGTTGCCATATTTAATAACAGCACATCAAACGCGAATTTACTAAGATGAAAGAAATAAAGAAAGCAGCGGTCAAAAGTGGTAGAAAGTCCTGAGAAAAGAGGAAAATAGAATGAAATACTACTGAAGTTCCAAATTAACATTAAATAATTCGATTTGATATCAGACATTCAGCACACTCAATGTATAATGCTGTTTGTCAGAGAAGTATGGGGAAGTTTTTAATGTTCTTGAGGTCTAGATATTGACCTGAGGCCGAAATAGAATCTTCTTGCTATGTGGGTTTTGTGGTTAACAGCTTAATGCAGTAGCTTATTCTGGGAAGCACAAGACAAACAAGATGCATCTGGAGTTCTACAATATCTGCACAGACTTTACCGTATTCGGTTTGTCCTAGTGTTAGAGTATGTGATAGCACTAAACAGCTATTGTGTGAAGTGACTTTTAGAATTTAGTTCACGTTAATTAATAGCCCCAAGTCTGTTTTTACACCACATTTTGTGTTTAGTTTGTTGGGAAACCTATGGTTTAGTTTTCTTCCACTTTCTTTGGTTTGATTTATTTGAAAATTTATAAATTATATTAACTATTTGGCTTGTTTTGACAGATTGCATTGCAAGAGGCGCAACGTGCACAATTTCTTGTCGAACGTGCAAAACAAGAACGCCAACAAAAGATAGTTACTGCTGAGGGTGAAGCTCAGGCAGCAAAACTGATTGGTGATGCCCTTGCTCAAAACCCAGGATATCTAAAGCTAAGGAAAATAAAAGCAGCGACTCAAATTGCTAGGACGGTAAGACCTTTGTTGATCTCACTTTTGATGTTTTTGTTGGCAAACACCTTTAAATCTGTCTCAAACACAATTCGCAAAGTTTTCACTTAACAATAGACTTTCAGTTATTTTCGTAGCGTACTAAAAGGTTTTTTTTTCTGTAGGTTGCTCAATCTCAGAATCGTGCATTTTTGCAATCTGGATCCCTAATTTTGAATGTTGCTGATCCGAAATTCGATGCTGGTTTGGATGTTTTAAGGAAAAAATAACTTGTCAGCTATTCTGTTGGGACGTCAAAAATTTTTAGGCTAGTTGTTTTACTTCAAATTGACTTTCCATCGACATGTATGTACAATGTCCTGCATTTTCTACCTTAACTGAGCGTGTTAAGTTCTTGTGTACATGATTAGTAATACAATTGAAATAAATTACACAAATTAGATCTTTTTCGTTCCATAATTTGGTGAAAATGACTATAAGTTGATTGTTCGTTAACTGAAAACTACAAGGTCATCATGTTCAGTTTTGTTTGCCTGTTTTTGACGTAACATTTACAGCTAATAACTCGTATAATAAAGTCAACTTTGTAGACATCTCGAATCCGATCACCACTCGCTTTTTTGTAATTCAAACTTTGTTTCAGTTTTCTCTGACTGAACTGCTGAAGTTTAACCGGTGAACTCATAGTTTCAAAAAGTATTGTGGAAATAAGTTGCTGCACTGCGATACGTTGTAAGGCTTCTCTAAATGCAAATTTCAGATGCATGTATAAACTCGAACCAGGTTTGGGTATAGTACTTATGTGGTCAACAGGCGTTACTTTCTGTTTTAACATAAATTTCCTGTCACAATCTGCTTCGAAACTTAGGTAGTATGATGATGTGTTGTCAGGATCATCAAGATTCCCTAACCAAACAGATACTTGCATTCGTCCGTCTCATTGACCCCGTTTGAATATATTAACTGGAACGCATATTCCTCACCATGGTTGACGTAATGAGTCAAAGAAGTAGTAATCTATTGTGTTGTGCGTTTAGGGCTTAGTTTAAATACAACTGCGGTGATGTTGTGCCATCAGCTTGTCGAGTGGACAGAACACAGCGCGAAACCTATAAATATGCATCAATTCGGTCCACCAGAACTCACAATAGAACAGAGGTAGGAGGAAGTTAAAATGAATAAAAATAGTAGAACAGAATGCGAAACAGTAGGTGTAGAAAAAGATAAGAATTATGCATGTCTACACCATCGTGACAGATTTCCAGATGTCACACAGAGTCTGTTATCGTTTCCCACCGTTTCAGTTTCGATCAGCTGTTTGTAAGTTCATCGTGTATCTTAAACTTGTGGCTCATTGGCTTAAGCATTCAACCTGGGGTCAGTAGATCCCAAGTTCGTATTCCACTCCACCAATTTCGGCCTGAGTCACCGAGTATTTTCGTTAACTCTTATGATATGTAGCTTATTTCACAAGTGTGCCGGATTGAATTACATTATTATATGTAATGCCATGACCATCCTTTGTTTTCATTTCAGTGTAATCCTATCTAGTATGGCAGCACAGACGTTTCTGGATTATCTGTTAACTATTATGGCTACATAAACGCTGTGGACCTTAAAAGTAAGGCGGACGGATTAAATGACTTCGTTAAAGATCTAAGACTTGTTTTGATTGCAGTGATGGACACCGATGTTGTAACTGACTGGATTACTAGTCTATGTGTCAAAGGGGAATTCATTTGTACTTGACCGCATCCGCGGTACATAAGAGACGGCAAGTTGAAAGACAGTTAAATCGAAACATCTGAATGGACAAAGGGGTATCCAGCTTAACCCATATCGCGTAGCTTGTCATTTAGGGCATATTGTTGCAGTTGGTTGAGTGTTACCGAACATTTGCGCTTTGTTTTCATCTATGCACGTATCAGTTATTTTTACTCTTTGCTTCGCTTCTTACTATGCGCTGTTTGTTTGTATCAGCACATTAATTGGTCGGGTACGATTCTAACTCATGTTACGTTGTAAACCGAGGCAGCCATGAGTTTGAAAGTTTGTAGTCGATTAAATCTTGTATTTACCGCAGTGTTTTTGACAGAGTTGCACTACATTGTGAATGTATGTTCTGTATCTTGGAGTACTTCGGTCGGTGTAGGCATGGGATACAGAATTCGACGGATCTTTCGTATATTTCTCTATAGTTTTATCTATTTGGCTGGTCCACCCCAGTAAACAGAAGGTCAACGACAGATAATTGAATTTTGAAAACTTAAATATGCATCTTCACCAGAAACCAGGTCACATGTTCATGTTTCGATAGCAGTTTGTTGTTGATTGTCCTTGAGTGCAATATGGCAAGAAATGCGACATGCTGTAATTCAGAATACAACCTCTCACTGATGTTCGATGTTTAAGGTCAGTCAGCAGGAAAATCTAGTTTTAGGTTTCGTGATTGTTGACACTCAATAGCAAGACATATTTGCGATTTCAAGAGAACTGGTGTCGCTTCAGAGATCCGGGTCCGCTCCACCAGCTTAGGATAAAACAATATAGATTTGTTCACTTTTCAGTTGCCAATCAACACACTATGCTCCTTGGTAATAATGCATAGTGGCCAGCAGTGGGATATAGGATGAGCGTTTCCTCCTACTTAGGGCTCGTCAGCTGGACGTACCTGCTTCCCATTAAGTGGTGTTGTCCCCACAGGGACTCGAACTCAGAAGCCACCTCTGAACGCCGGAGCGTTATACACTAAGCTACTGAATGATGATAGTTACTCGGTTGTATTGTGTTCTCTGAGCTGGGTTGTTTAATCGTGGAGCTTTCATCGTCTTTCTAGACGACGTCATCAACACTAACTTCAGTATGAAGTGAGCTGTCAATAGTAGCTTGCCCTGATGAACTGGTTTGTGATTGCTTGGCTCCTTTGATTGTTGTGTCATTGACTGTATAGGTCTTTCTGTTGGTTGTTCCTCTGCTTGACCTCTGACCTTTCTATCGTTTATCGTCTTTCTCATTGGTTGATAGATTGGGTCTATGTCTATACATCTGTTGATTGCTGACTGACCTGAATACCAAGCTTCTAGGAATTCTCTGATACCCCTTGTGTTTCCTCTCCGTCCAAAATTTTACATTGTCCATAATTATCCACGTGAATTGAAATGAGTGATGAAATGTCGTGATGTTTAATAGCCAATTGGTGTTCATGTAGACGACGACGAAGAGGGCGACCATTTTGTCCAATGCAGTGTTGACTACAGTTACTGAATTTGACTTTGTGAGTGATATTCGGTTTGTCTTCATTGGTTGTTGCATCCTTTGGTTTGCACAATAATATTTGCAGGGAATTTGTTGGTTTATGAGCCACACCACTTCCAAGTGGTCTCAGTAATCTTGTCGTTATTCCTGATATATTCTTTATGTATGGTAGAATGATGCGTTTATTGATTTCTGTCGATGACTTTGTAGTTGATGATGTACGGGATAGGCATCTTCTGATAAAGTTTCATGGGTAGCCGTTCTTCTTTGGGATGGACATCAAGTAGTTTTCTTCTTTTCTCCTTGAAGTTGTTGTACTGCATTGTGTTCTCGCTCTTCTGGATGGTCTGCGCGCACCTGATCTTGTGCGTTGTTGCTACTGTAGCTGAGGATTTGATCAGTGTGCGTTGGCTTCCTTTACACTTGAGTTTCCGGCATTTGTTCTACTGACTAAAACATTCAAGAATGGTAGTTGGTTGTTTGACTCTTTCTTTATTGTGGATTTGATGTCATTGAAAACGTTGTTGATCAGTTTGAGTAATTTCTACGTCATCTTTTTTAATGATGACAAAAGTGTCGTCCACGAAACAGATCCCGATTTCTGATTTGATCACAGGTAGAATGATGGTGTCCAGTCTCTGCATCATTGCTTTTGCAATTAATCCGGATATTGGTGATCCCACTGGAGTTCCTTTCATCTGTTTGTATATTTTGCCATTGAATTGGAAGTATGTTGTCAGACGAAAGTCGATGACTTCCATCAGACTTGGACATCTGAATTTTGTCCGCTCTGAAAGGTTTGTGTCATTGAGGAGGAGGGATGGATGTGTATAGTGCCGTGACATCGCAGGATATCATTAATTCGTCGTTTTCTATGTTAATGCTTTTAATCTTCTCTAAGAATTCTGTTGGTGATTTGATGGAATATCTACATGATTGAACGAGGTGTTTCATTTTTCTCGAAAGTTCTCTTGATATGTTGGAACTCCCGAAAGTGAGACTGCTGGTCGTAGACATGTCTGGTTTGTGTAGTTTTGGTCTGCCGTAGAACCGAAGAAGGACAGTTCTTTAGATTTCATTCGCCATTTGTTTTGCTGTGTTATTTCTTCTGTTTTGAAGAGTTTGTTCAAGGTTCTATTGATCTCGTTGTCGAACTTTTGGATAGGGTTGATTTCAAGTGTGGTTTTCTTTGTCCATAACTACTGTAGTGCGTCCTCTGTCTGCTGGAAGTATAACGATATCTTGCCTATTTTTCAGTCTTTTTAATGTTTTCTGTTCTTGAGTATTCTGTCTGGTCAGTGGTACGATTGTTTGCCGTATTTCTTGTTGAGTGACCTCATTTAATCCTGATGTTTTAAGTAACGGTTCTAATGCCGCAAAGAATTCTGCTTTGGAGGCAACTCCTGTCTTGTAATTCAGTCCTTTTTGAAGAAAAAGTTCTTCCATCTTTTGATGATGGTTTTTCTAACAAGTTAGCAGCACGGTCGTTTGTTTCCTCGGTTGGTAATGCTTCTAAGATTTTGAGCACCTTTTTCCTGAAGACTTTTCTTTGTTGTTCTCTGTATCGTCTGTTTGATTTTTCAATTGCTGTTGCCAACTTTGTCATGTGTTGTGCTGTGAGTATGCTTCCTAGTTTTCTCTTTTGATTGTCAATCAATAATTGGTATTTCTGAATCCGATGATGTGCATCTGTGATCATGAGTTGTATCATTTGTCTTCCACTTTGTTCAGCTATTTTTCATCCCACTCGACAGTTAATCGGTGGTCTATATCTGACGCTCTTCGGCGGAACATGCTGACGTAGGCACTCATGGAGAAAGAGTGGTTGTTCTTTTGTGGAAGCTTGGCTTTTGGAGAAGTCCTCCAATCTTCGAACAACCTGAAGCGTGTTACGCTCGTATGGTTTTGAAATAGTGGAGAATATTTGTAGCTCAGATGGATGGTCTTGGATGTATTATGTTCTCTGAGCTGGGTTGTTTAATCGTGAAGCTTTCATAGTTACTCTTTGTTCGAC